GAGTGTGCCTTATCCAAGCTGCGGCCCCGACTTCTCCACGGTTACAACCGGATGGGAGGAAGTGGGGGTGCGGTGGATGTTAGCCAAAAGCCGGTCAGGGGCAGTGTGATGGGTCGATGTTTTTGGACGACAGGGCGTTTATACATCGGGGCTCCACCCACTGTACCCATAGAGTCCAGTAGAGGGCGGAGCCTGTGTGATATATAACGGGGGGTTACGTATTGTAACCCTAGTTATATAAGCACAGGCGGAGCCCTCTACCTGGGGGCCCTGTCTTTCCTATGCCACTCGCTGAAGAGGGTGTAGGATGGCGGTCGGGAGGCGTAGCCGCCTTATATACTGTGGGCCTGCGCGCGCATTCAGGTAGGCTCGCCCTGATTGGCCGGCTACGTTTATGCAACTCAGTAGGTGAATGCACGCATAGCATGATAGAGAGTAGTACCCATAGAGTCCAGTAGAGGGCTCCGCCTGTGCTTATATAACTAGGGTTACAATACGTAACCCCCCGTTATGGGATGGTCAGACTGAACAGGGGTCCGCTGCCTCGAACTTCCTCACAAAACGGCCACAACAGGCCAATCCAGCATTCAAACTTTACTACAGCTGGCTCTGTGCACTACACCAAGACTTCACATGTGGGACAGTTACTCACATGTTCTCACTTTGAGTTAAAATACCTATCAGTAGCAGGAAAGATGAGAAGAATCTTTTTGTAATGCTGGGTTTTATGTCCTCAATCAAAGCAGTAACACATCTGAATTCTATTCAAATGCAGACTCCCCATCTTTTCCTAACAGCATCTGGGGCGCATTAGGAATAATATAGAATAATAACAGACTCCTTTCAAGCATGCTGCCCCTGTCTATTTCAGTTTTCAATTAAAATAGTAATAATAATCTTTTTCTAGCGCCTCTTCTACCTTCTCACTGTGATTGTACTTACTAAAGTAGGTGGGATGTACTCACTTTCTTAGACGTTATTGTGCTTTCATGTATTCAGCATTTTATACTTCACAGAAAACTAAATAATAAGCCTACAATATTATTCCAGGAAAACACAAATATATGGATTATGTTGCCCTCTTATGGATAGTGTGGATAATCCTCAGACAGCTCTGCTTGTTTTTTATTAGGGTAATCTCTATTTAAGGATTTAGACAACTAAATATGATCATATTGGTATTAGGTATAGAAGCATTAGCCTTACAGAAGTATGGCCCTTTATGTTAAAGCAGCATTATATTACGAAAATGCTCCATTGCAAGTTCAATAACTGCATTCAAAAGTAGATGTATAGCAGTGTTAGCAGCTAAATGTGTTTTTAAAACTCACAGTACTCGTTATGCAGGAAGTACTCCTCAGTTTTGTATTATGTCATATAACAGGTGTCATTATTGCTGATGTGACTGGACAGTGTCAGTAGAATTTTAAAGTTCTAGCTGTATAGAGGAGGAACTCATTCTTACTGTTAATACTAACTGTCTTAGACACCAGCCGGCACACCCTGTCCATGGTATACAGACTGGTCTTACTTTTTACACTGTATCAAATGTCTCAATAAAACAAAAAACAATCTGACTCGTCAATCAGGCCAGGAAGACAAATCAAGACAACCAACTCCAAAAAGGCAATCCAGATCTACTATCACTGTATCTTCTCAACCCAACATTTCAGTTTCTGCCATGAGGCCTCAGATTGAAAGTCCCTACTGTCAGTCTCGATGCCCCCTCCCCCCACCTCCAACACACACACACACGCACGCACGCACACGCGCGTGCACACACACACACACACACACACACACACACACACACACACACACACACACACACACACACACATACACACACACACACACACACACACACACACTCACACACACACACACACATCTCATTTCAACTCTAAGCCCCCTTTCCAAGCATCAAGGATGATTTTAGGGACATTCTGCAACCATCGCCCTCAGCAGCACTGTAACTCATTTTAATGTATATATATTAATGTATTGTTAAAACTACTGAATAACATGCATTGTTGTGATATTTTAATGGACTACATGCCAGTGAAAGAACAATCCACTTAGCAATTTTATTATGATTGCCCTTTGTCACTTTAAGATGTGGATCACATCACTCCTGTTCTGAAGTCTTTACACTGGCTTCCTGTGTGTCAAAGAATAGATTTCAAAATATTGTTGCTGGTTTATAAAGCTTTGAATGGTTTGGGCCCAAAATACATGTCTGACCTACTGCTAAATTATGAACCATCCAGAACCCTCAGGTCTTCAGGGACTGGTCAGCTTTCTGTCCCCGGAGTCAGAACTAAACATGGAGAAGCAGCGTTCAGTTATTATGCTCCGAATATCTGGAACAAACTCCCAGAAACCTGCAGGTCCGCTGCAACTCTTACTACTTTTAAATCCAGGCTGAAGACTTTTCTTTTTGTCGCTGCTTTTAATTGAACTATTCACATCTTAAACTGCACTGTAACTTTTAACTTTTATCCATGTATTTTTTCTTTTAATGTTTATTTTATTATCTTTCCTTTTTAATGACTGATTTTAAATGCCATTTTTAAAATGTCTTCCATTTTTGTAAAGCACTTTGAATTACCTTGTGTTGAAAGGTGCTATATAAATAAACTTGCCTTGCCTTGCCTTGCCTAAGACTTTAAGATGCATAACTGTAATGTATTGTGTGTGAACCTGTTATGCTGTGTATGTTGAGTGTTGTCTTAAATGCTGGTGCAAAAGACACACTTCGATTTCATGCATATTTATGGACAAAAGAAGTCATATGAATCTGAACCTATACAAATGTCTCAGATTTAATTGGATGTATAACTCTTAAACCATGTGATGGCATAAACGTACAAACCCAACATCTAAAAAGTAATTATAGATTTGTAAAGTAGCATAACATTAAAATAGTACTTGTATTTGAGTCATTATAATTTGAGTAATTGTACCACTGAGTAGCAATAGTAGAAAGCAACACTTTGCTTAGTTTAAGGAATTACATATTTGTTCATTCACAAACAAAAAGCTGTTTTTACTCCTCACATTTGAAACATCAGGGGCAGAGCCTTTTCCTCTATGACCCCCTCCCTCCTGAACAAGCTTCCTGTCATTGTCAGAGGAACACACACTGTGTCAGTATTTATAGGCAGATTCAAAACTGTAAGGAAATCTGACAACCTGATTCACAACCCACCTTTCACTTTCTAGATCCCCCTGCACTTTGTCTGTATTTACTGCAGGCTGCCCTGGTGCGTGTGCCTCATCTCCACAAATATATTTGAATTGCTCTCCACCTCCAATATTGCATGAAATTGAACTGCTTTTCTACAGCACCGCACTAAATATAACACACATCCCATCACTTAAGTGGGCTGGTTATGGGGGTATCACTGACAGATTGTATATAAATAAATTATATACAGTTTACAAATCTTCAGCCTGCCATAAAATGAATTACATCACTTGACATGCAAGATGTGCATTTGGTTCTCGGTTATAACAGACTAAACACAACTCCCTGTGTTTGCTTTCAGTAGTGAAATAACTTTCTCTTGTAGATACTGAACTGAAAATAATTTAATAAATCACTTTTGGGTATCAAAACCCCAAACCACAACAACATTCCACAGGCTTCTTTCTGCCTTTGAACCTCTTCCACGGGATACTTTAAAACCCATATTGTGGCTCCATCTTGTGGACAACATATGTAAAAGCTCAATAAATAGGTATTAATTTAAAGTCATGTATGAGCTAAACATATTAGATCTAAAAGTATAATGTTTACCAAGTCACTTTGATTTATTCATATTTTTTCATTATGGTTATGTGGAAAAGGTTTGAAGCAGATAAACCATTCCACTGGACATAATATTCTCACTCTTAGTTAATCTGTAAATTCTGCTGCAGAATGTATTAATTAGTGATCTCGATTTGTGATAATTTGTTATTCCATTATAGCTTGCTTTTACCAATCCTTACATAGAAACATTTAAAATGGTGACAGTTTCTAAATTCAGCCCACTCCAAGGTGAGCATGTTTTTATTCCATTTGGATACCATCATGAGAACAGTAAAAGTACAGACACTCACACCTGGCAGGATTATTTAAAGACTTCCAGCTCACAGTTCAGTACATTTCTAAATGATAAAATAGTTATAGATTTATCATGGATAATATTATATTGTTTGTTAAGCTTTAATGAAATATATGAGATGGAATATTTTTCTTTCTTTTTTAAACAAATGTGCTACAGTAGACAGTATGTTTAAGGAAAACCTTTGAGACAATAACCTCAACAAAAATGAAAGTGTATTTAGTTTGCATGTCTAATATTACTTTAATGTTTAATCTTGTTGTGCTTTTTCATTAGATTGTGTATATATACACACATGTGTTTCTGTGTCATTTTTGTTTTAACTGCTAATTTTATATTATTGCAATATGTTAGCTGACCTGAAATAAAAACAAATTCCAGCTCACAGGAAGTAAACTCATGTGTAGTTCGAGTCACCCTGGTAAAGCCCCAATGCGCCCCACTCTTTTAAAGAAATCTGAACTCTTCATTCTATATACTAAGAAAAAATACAATTTAAAAGTATGTGCTTGTGTAAATCGTCCATATTCCTATTATCGTTTTACATTTCCAGTGTTAAAAACCTCTGAATAAAACAAATACTATAAAATACACTCAACTTAGAAGCTAGGGAAGTGCTACAAGAGTTATAATTGATTAAAACATGTCGTTTTATAACATTGAAAGGAGAAATATATTGGCGGTACATCACAGGATTCGTATGGGCACTTTTTGGTAAAGAGCATAGTAAAAATGGGCTGGTTGTTTTTACGTGTTCGTCGAAGCCAAGTTTTTCGCTTCTGTGTCAGAGCATGAAAGCACCACCCCGCCCAGGTTCCAGTTTTGCGTTCGTGTCGACACAGACACACTGCTCCTCGGCTAGCAGCCGGACAGTCACCGGCACGTCCGAGGAGACACCCAGACGAGTAGTGACATTATTTACAAGAGAGTTGGTGTCCCTGCACCCACGAGTCACTATTCCTGTCAACCGACAATCATCCAGGGTCCTTCTGTTACATCGAGTTGCCATTTTGTTAGGCTCAACTCCACAACAAATGTTTACCTTGTGCTTTAGAAATTAGGTTCAATCTACACATTTACAGGAGACACAGTGGGATTTATTTGTTGCATGAAAGAAAATGTTTTAGGCGTCTTTCTCTGCAGAATGTCGAAATGCTACATGTGTAGTTAGTGTTTTGACCAATCAGTTGTAGAGCCTCGGTAGAGGGGTATAAATGTGAGGCGGTTGCCGTAGAAACGTGCCACTGAAGAGTTGAACGCAAGAGCCCGTGATAATCGTAAGGTAATGCTAGCGCGGTAATTCGTAGTAAATGCCATATTTACCAAACGTGAATTAATGTTATGGTAAGTTGTGTTGTCCTGCTAATGATTGAACAATTTGCGACAGTTGTCATAAGTTGGAAAGGAGCCCACGAGGTTAAACACGACTACATCCTAACAGCTAACGCTAGCTAAACGTTAGCTGCGGTAGCTAAGCTAACTAGATGCTTCCTAACAGGTATTGAGTTAAGATGCTCTCGATGGACCGTATCGCCCTGTTTGTGGCAAAAAACAGATCTGTACATAAGATAGAAAGGTGAAAATACATCGGTAGTGCAGTGTCGGCTGTCAGTTAAGTCGCCTGGAAACGATAGTACATGTATTCAATGTCCTTAATATTTATTGGCAGCTAGCTAATATGACTATTTATGCCACGAAAGCGTCATTCACAACATTTCTTGGCCGGGATTACATCTACACCTTTCAAATAGAGCACTATAACTAGCTCCCCTAGCTTCTCGTTTTCCCTGATAACTTGCTCTGGAGGTTAGCTGAGATGCTAGCTAACCGGTGGGCGTGGTGGCTTCACGTATTGGCCTGATCACTGTCAACAGCGCAGCCATGCTTTCTGCTCAACACCACACATTACATCTGAAAACAACTATAAGTTAAAGCCTTATATTAAACCAAGCCTGCAACACCTTACTGAATCTAATTTTAACAGTAGGTAAAGGTAATGTTTAGCTAAAATAATGATTTAAAATGCATAGTCTTTTGTCGGGTTGAGTGATTCAGGTCTCCAAAATCTGCGATGAAGTTAATGATGTTTGTGTGGTGAAACTTTCTAAATTATTTAATTATTAATTCAATATTCCTGATATTTATTTTTTTAAGAGTGGAAAATATCTGGGAAAAAAAATGTTTTGATTGAAGCTTTTTAAACTTACAAGAAACCATCATTTGCGTCCTCCATACTTTCTATCATATCACTTAGTACCACTAAATGCATTGCAATGTCACCTAATAATAAATGACTTGAACAACTGAATATTAAATGTTTGAATAAATGAACTCCTGTCAAGTGCATTGACCAATTGTTTCAGCTGCACGTCCAAAAACATGACAATGTCAGAATAGTGGTTTATGTTTTAAATAATTGTAATTCCCCGAGTTCATCTATATCTGTTTTATTTTAACATCTAAATTAAAGTAAGCTTAACTAGATTCTCATTGTTCATTTATTTGGCTTGGTTGTCATATGAAAATAACTGGTATTTTGGACAAAACATTTTTGAAAAGATGAACTGTGAACAGGCAAACTGTGACAACCCTGTTTATGGAAATGTCTATCGATCAAAAGTGATTCCATTACCTGTTACTGTTTCACTTATTGACATTCTCAAAAGTGCTTTGGAAACATGGTTTTGTTAAAGGCTCCTGAGCCCCCACTGTTCTCTTCTGATGGTGTTGCTATCCATTCAACTAGCATTTTATATATAGGCTTCTGCTGGTGATTTATTATTTATTATTATTTGTGAACATCCAGTCAACTGACTAATTTGTTCAGATAAACAAATCAGAGAATTGATGATACTGCAATCTCGTTGGTGTTGCTTATTTGACATTACCCCAGCCTTGCTGTGTCTTTACAAGTAAGCAATATTGAGCATACTGCAATCAATAAGCTATTTATTTTCAGTATACTATGCTGGAGAGGTTGGGATGAGTGCTGAGACTTCAAACTTCTGAACTTCTTGGCATCCTATGTTTTTGTTCTCACTATCATTTAATCTACAAGAAGGCCTTTTGGGATCGTTGTTTGCTGTTTCAAGACACACATGCAGGTGATCACATCCCCCTGTGTCTGCTGGCTGCCTGATTCTCAACATTGTTTCATGTTGAAATGATCAGACTATATTTTATGAGGGATGGATCTGTTGAAGCATATTGACTATTTTAGTACAGTATCGGCTTGACTTTAAATTGTCATCTTACCTACTAGCACTTTCAAATGTTGGACTGAACAGTGTTGTGTTGCATTGTGGGTAATGTAGGGCACCAGGATTTATGAAGTCTGTTGTAAGTTAGAATATGTTTCAGCCCTGTTGTAGTATTAAGCAGTGACTGACTACTTTTTTTGTGTGTGTTTTTTCAGTATATACCCAATATCCATGTTTACTGAAGCAACTACTTTCTTCTTCTTTAGGAAAACGTGTGATGAACACCAAATTGCTGCAAAGCATTCAACATACTTTTTCCCTCTTCATGGCCTTCAGACAAAACAATGTCTGGTGTAAAAGTCTGTCCCACTGTGAACGGAAACCCCCCTCCCCCGGAGGTCATAAACCCTAAGAACCCTGGACGTGACACCAACCAGCTGCAGTACCTGGAGAAGGTGGTGATCAAAGCCTTATGGAAGCATAACTTCTCATGGCCCTTTCGCCAGCCTGTGGATGCTGTGGCACTGGGTCTGCCGGTAAGTAATGAGATGACTATAGCATCAGGTTTTTCTGGTTTCAGGTAAATAATAGAATAATAGTATTACAATGTTTGAACTGCAATATCATTTTTTTATGGTGGAGTCGCTTCTTTAGACTTTGATCTGTGAAGGAAGGGCAGTGTTTCCCCTATATACAAATAGTGGCGGCGCAGCGCCGCTGCTGAAATATGCGCGCCGCTGCTAGGGGGCGCCAGCCAGGTACCCAAAACAAATAAAATAATATTTTTTTTTTTACTTGTTTTTTTTTTTTAAATTAAAATAATAATAAGTGGCGACCCTTTTTCATTTTGAGGTGTATACTATAGGACAGTAACCAAAAATATCGTTTAAAGTTGGAGAGATACAAAAATATGCATAAATAAATAAATGTTAACTAGGTAAAATAAGATATAAATGAACAACAAAAATAAAATAAGTTACATTTATTTGTTATTGGCTATGGTAGGTTATTGGTTATGTTCACATACTTATTGATTATTAAAATGTAAACCGATCTTTTTCAGATGGGTGTTTAGAGTTGTACCCCCTAGATCAGGTCTCTAGTAATTGTGTGCTCAAAGTGCACCAGATTGAAGCATTTTACTTTAAAATGTTCAAAAAAATCTTCCCGGGGGGGCATACCCACGGACCCCCCTAGAGAATGTGACGTCCACCCCCCAATTAAAACATGTTCATAAAATACTGAATACATTTGAAGCCATTTTGACGTATATTACCTATGTCAATAAGTTTCTGTTTTTGTAGTGTATTTGTCTTTAGTAGAGATTTTTCATTTATTCTTTATATATAAAATCTCGCCTAGGGCAGCAAATTGGCTAGAACCGGCCCTGGTACTAGGCCTCAAGAGCCTTTCTTGTGCTGGCAGACACATAGAAACAAATTGGCGCGGCGCACTTCGCACGCACTAAAAGATTCAACACGCTCATATTATGCTTGGCCCACGTGCCTTAGCACCGCTGCTATGACTCCATCCTAGGGGAAACACTGAAGGGTTTTGTATTCATTCTAGTGTATTTGTTGTCTTTCAGGATTATTATACAATCATCACAAAGCCTATGGATCTGACCACTATAGAAAAGCGTCTCGAGAACAAATACTACTGTGGAGCACTTGACTGTGTACAAGACTTCAACAACATGTTCACCAACTGCTATATGTACAATCGGGTAAGAGAATACTGTTGTGGTGCTGTCAAACACACCAACGTCAAACTGCCCACACAGAAGTAATGGACATATAGAACATTAACAGTGAGGAAGTATTGTACATTTCAAGCAGTTCTGTGAACTGATATAATGTTCACTTATTGCTGTTCTATCATAAGGAGAGGGTTCACACCCAGAGGGACATTTTATTTGAGGCTATTACAGTGCTGGAGATTATTTCTGCAGTTCAAACAGGATTGGTATATCAATACATGCTTTACTAAGTTATTTTATTACGCACCTTCTCTTTCTACAGCCTGGAGATGACATTGTTTTTATGGCACAGACCCTAGAGAAGCTTTTTCTGCAGAAACTGTCCGACATGCCTAAAGAAGAGTTTGAACTTACAGCAAACAATACAAAGGAACCAGTGAAGGGGAGGAAGACACATACAGGTATCATGCACACCCCCAGTCCCAACCGCAAGGAAGTAGTTCTAGTTTGATTTTCAAATGGTTTCTCATATTGTGCATGCATTCCTCTTTGCCTCAGCTCATGCAGGTTCAGTAAAGCACAGATCCCTTATGTCAGAAGTTGTTCTCCAGCAGACTGTGACAGTCATTCCAACTGATGTGCCTAAATGTATCCCACCCAACCAGCTCTCTCTACAAATTGATCCCACAGTAAGTATTTAATTACTTTGAAAGTAGATTTTACACTTTACATTCCGACGTTTAACCACTATGTAAGGTGTTCAACATGTTGAAAAGATTTTTGTCTTTTTTGCTAGATTTTTACAATGAATATCCTATATATATATTCATGTTGCATTGTTGGAGGAGCCTGGGACTGTAGCTATTGTGCATATGACGATAATGCTTTGAATCTTGAATATATTATAGTTTACAATTCAATTCTGATGCTTGACTCGTTAATTCAGTACAAAAAGTTGTATTTGTTTTCTTACGAGTGACAGCTTCAAAGAAAAAAAGGTAAAGCTCCTTGTGGCAAAAACGATGAGGGTCTCTTATGCTCTCCCGTAGTGCGTTCTATAGGTTTTTGTGCATGTACATGATCTGCAAAGGCTAACATTCCAGAGGGAGTTTCTCTCCTCCACACTCCCTCACCCCTTGCCTGAAATGTGATTCGATTTGGCTTGCGCTCAAACACATTGTACGTGACAGGCTGAGGGGCGGGACATCTCGTGTGTTGTTAACCAATCACAACAGAGCCGGCCTGCTAACCAATCAGAGCAGACAGGGCTCTGGTTTCAGACAGAGGGGGAAAAGAGGTGCTGCAGCACAGGCAGTATGAGCATTTTTTTAGACTGACAACTTCCCAATTTGAGAGGGTAAGATACATACTCATTGGAGTTGGAAGCAGTATTACAATAAATCCTAAATGTATCATTCATAGAATTTGGACAATACAATTGGTCTATGTGCCTACAGGCAAACTTTTATCTCATAACACAAAACAAATGGTCAATAATTCTTCCTACAGCTTTTTTAAACTAATATAGTAATTTACTCTAAATTTGCAATATGTTTCTAAATACCCAGGTAAAAAAAGGTTTTAAAAGGAAAGCAGATCCCACATCCTCCACCACCTCCGTCATCTGCCGCAGGGAGGAATCCCTCTCTGAGAAACATTCAGCACCGTGTGCGTTATTGTCCAGGAGAGGCAGTGGAAGGCCCATCAAACCTCCGAAGAAGAGAGACTTACCTGCCTGTGAGAGCAAGGTGCGCCTGTCTGAGCAGCTGAGGTTCTGTAACGACATGCTGAAGGAGATGCTGTCCAAGAGACACTATGCCTACGCCTGGCCCTTTTACACTCCTGTTGATGCTGTGTCTCTGGGCCTGCATGACTACCATGACATCATCAAGCAGCCTATGGACCTCGGCAACATCAGGGTAAGAATATTTGGATGATTAGCATATTATGTTACTTTCAATATATGTCCGATCAATTTTCATCAAAGTCTTATTTTCTCAGAAAAAAATGGATCAAAGGGAGTATGAAAACGCAAAGGAATATGCCGCTGATGTTCGCCTGATGTTCTCCAACTGTTACAAATACAATCCACCGTCACACGAGGTGGTTTACATGGCAAGAAAACTGCAGGTATATATTTCTTGTTCTTTAAAATCACTATGCTAATACTAAAAGGTACCATGTGGAGATGTTTTGAAAACAAAGTTTTGTATGTTTCCCATTCAAATGCATTTTGTATATGCTTAAGGATTCATAAATGTCTAGAATGTATAATCTTCTTCATTAAATATTTGCAACCTCCATTTTTGGAAGAATCTGAAACCTACACTGTGAACATCAACATGTGCTTGCTAGCAGACTCCTTCCTCCTTGTCTTGTTTGGTACGTTGAAGGTCACAGCGTTATATTTCCTGGAATGTTAGCACCGCCAGCTGTTGATCAGTAGAATGGAGTGCAGCTAGGCCCACATGTAGTGCATGTAACAACATGAGGACCCACCCTTAATGTCAATGCTCTATAGCTTTACTACTGGTCGAATGGTACCTGCAGTTTTGTTTATCTGCAGAAATGATTTAGTAAGTAAGTAAGTAAAACTTTATTTATATAGCACCCTTCTCAACACGAATGTACAAAGTGCTTTACAGTACAGTACACAATTCACAGTACAACTAAAATGTAGAATAAAAGGCATAAAAAGGCATAAAACAACAGCAGGTAATACATAGGATAAAACATAGGATAAAACACCAATAAAAGACAGCTACTAACTCACCTCCTCTGATGCCCCAAAGGCCTGACGGAAGAGGTGGGTCTTTAACTGCCCCTTAAAAATCTCTACTGAGGCAGAGGTTTTTATTTTCTGGGGGAGTTTGTTCCATAGCCTTGGGGCCACCACCTTAAAGGCACGGCCCCCCTTAGTTTTTAGCCTGGTTCGGGGCACCCTTAGGAGGCCTTGCTCAGAGGACCGCAGGGCCCGGGTTGTGCTGTGAGGGTGGATCAGGTCATTGGTGTAGGATGGGGCTTGGCCATGGACAGCTCTATATGTGAAAACCAATACCTTAAAGTGGGTTCTGAGATGGACAGGGAGCCAGTGCAGGGCAGAAAGAATCGGGGTGATTCGGGCGGTTCAAATGAAACGGTCACTATTTGTGGTGATTTACTGTACTGATTATTAGTAATTAGCCTAGGCCACATCTCACTGAACTGCTGTAGGTTTTGTCTGTGGCATGTTCTTCAGATGTAGACACTCAAGCTATAGAGAAAAATGTCAGCTATGTATATGTTGCCAATTTAATATATGCTACACAGAAATATTAGGTTAACAATAACCATAGGATCACTAACAGAGTTCTTTATAAATGTCCATGAACTGTGATCCCTACTAGGCCATACTGAAATCAAAGCTCTAGTAGTGGTGTTATCATTTCTAACTACTACAAAACGTATTTTGTATTTTATATCAACAGGACGTCTTTGAGGCCCGATATCTGAAGGTTCCCGAAGGAGCAGATGTTTGTCCCATACCTCGTCAGCAACTCGACAAAGGAAAGGCAGAGCGAGTTGGAAGTGTGTCAACATCAGCCAGCTCTAAAAGCGACAGTTCCTCAGAGGCAGAGAGTTCCTCAGGAGGGGTGTCGGTTCAGCTGGCCAATCTAGAGGAACAGGTTGGTATAAACATGCCAGTAACCGAGCTAAAAGTTCTTTACTTCAGTGCATTTCACCTTATTGGCTCATTAATGGCTGGCTTTTCAGTTGGAAGCTGTCCGCGATGAGCTGAAGAGACTTGCCCAAGAGCCTGTGATGAAACATAAGAAGAAAGCAAAGTTGAAAAAAGAAAAAAAAAGCCAAAGAAAAGGATATCGCTAGATTAAAGCACATATCCTCGAAATACAAATCTATGGTAGAAAAACTGGCCAACCGCAAAAGCTCTACTTTGTAAGTGAACCCACTTTTATATTATATTTTATACTTTGAACAAGGAATTTTGAAGTCAGTTTTTTGAAAGCAGATGCTGAGTTAACATTAGATGTTTTTGTATATATGTCTAGGCATGGCAACAGACACAATATTCATGGAGTACCTTTAACGTGTGAGGATGAGGTCCCATCAATTCCAGTGACTTACCAGGAGAAGAGGCAGCTGAAATCGGACGTGGACAAGCTGCCTGGTGACAAACTGGGCAAGTTGGTGAAGATAATCCATGCCAGGGAGAACTGCCTGCAAGACTCTTCTCTGGAGGAGATTGAAGTTGACTTTGAAATGCTCAAGCCTTCCACGCTGAGGGCCCTGCAGAGGTTTGTTGCAGCGTGTCTGAGGAAGGTCAACAAGAAAGCTTGTAGTAAGTCCTTGCTTAAGCTTTCCTATTTCAGCAAATATACCTCTTCTTTTTACAGAGTCTGTTCAATTATGGAATGCTTAATGATGATGGAGGGTTATTATGTCTTCCTCCTGCAGAAACGAAGCTGGTCACAGGAGGAATGCAGACCGGGAAACTAAAGAATGCCTGTACATCTCAGGTTGCTAGTAAAGAGCAGCACTTAATTAAGAATAAACAACAACCGCGTAAGATCTGGATTTGATTAACAATGTGATACCCCCTTTACAGCTTGCACTTACATGCTATTTGGGTGATTGGATTGCAATTGGATAGGGTTTGACCACATGGAAGTACAGGTGTAAATGCACTCAAAATATGACTCGCAAATCTACATGCCCCTGAAAATAAATGACCCAAACCCTCTGCAACGTCTGTCTGATTGTCTGCAGGACATCAGAGCCTGGATGGCCTTGAACTTTTTAAAATTCAATGAAAAAAAGACCGAGGTGATAATATTTGGACCCAGTGGTGGCCCCAATGCCCCGCCTGTGCTGGATTCTCTTGTCCCATATGTGAAACCCATTGTAACAAATCTGGGTGTACGGATTGATCGTGATTTGAAACTAGACAAACAGATCAATTCTGTGGTCAAATCCAGCTTTTTTCAGCTAAGAATTTTAGTAAAGGTCAAGCCTTTCCTTTCTTTTGATGACTTTGAGAAAGTAATACATTGTTTTATATCCACTAAACTGGATTACTGCAATGCTCTGTACATTGGAGTAACCAAGGCTTCCCTGTCTCGCCTACAGCTGGTCCAGAATGCTGCTGCGCGCCTCCTTACAAGGACAGGCAGGCGTGAACATATTACGCCTGTACTCGCCTCTTTACATTGACTAGCCTACCAGTACATTTTAGAATACAATTTAAAATGTTATTGTTTGCATACAAAGCCCTAAACGGTTTACCGTACCTGGCAGATCTTTTAAAACCGTACACACCCACACGGTCACTGAGGTCGGCTGACAGATTACTTCTGGTCGTCCCAAAATCAAGGCTAAAGCAGCGAGGAGACAGAGCCTTTGCTGTTGCAGCTCCAAAGTTATGGAACAAATTGCCCCTCCAGGTTAGACTTGCTCCAACTCTGCCTGTTTTTCAATCTTGTTTAAAAACCCACTTCTTTTCCCTTGCATTTACAGACCAGGTGACACTTGTGCTTTTAAATTTGGGTTTTTATCTTACTAGTATTTTGTATTGTTTGGACGTCATGTGGGAGAGTTATCAGTCTGTGGCTTCTGATCTGGTTTCAGTGTCACATTTGTTTCATGTCCTGTCTGTTTTTTATGTATTTATGCTATGTTTTTATACAGTTGTTGATGTACAGCACTTTGTTCAACTCTGTTGTTTTTAAATGTGCTATAGAAATAAAGTGGATTGGATTGGATTGGAAAATGCATTGAGGGCAGATTACGATCCAATCGGCTAGACCAATAACAGTGATTTTATTATACATACAACAACTAGGTGGGCCGAAATGCTTAACCACATGCAACTATTCCAAAAAAGCGAGGAGGCAGCCAGTTAGCAAGCTAAGCTACTAGTAAGAAAGCAATTGATAATCAAGATGCTCGTGGTTAGAGACAAACACTCACAGTACATTTAGTACCAGACTGCTGGTGAACTCTGCATCAACAGGACAGCAACGTGGCCATCAGGCAGAAGAGTGGAGGATGTGAAGGGAAGTTGTTGGAGCTTGAGGCAGCTATAGGATTCAAAATGTACTTGTTACGCATATTAATACAAGGTGTTAATATAAACCGGTACAATCATGAAATCTGAAGATGAGATTCATTTAAATTCAAGTTGTAAAGGGGGTCTAATTGTGCATCCACATGCAAGGCACGGAGAGTGCAAATTCAACTTTGACCTTATTTTTCGTTAACAGCTAAAGTCATGTCGGCCCCTGACCCCGGCTGGCTCCCACGCCTCAGTGCGAGCAGCAGCAGTGATTCCAGCTCTAGCAGCGATGGCAGTGTCCTCGATACAGGTAAGCTGCCCCCCCCCCCCCCCCCCATCATCTGTTAGAATTGTTCTCCTCTCTCCACTGATGAAATAAGAGCCATGGGAATAATTCAACTGGGTGCCTTTCCAACCCTTATTATGGTTCCACACCAAATATGATTATTCCTTTTTATTTTATTTATACACACACTTAAATAATCTTTCTACACGTCACATGTGTCACATGCACAATGACATCTGAGAGTATTGTGGTCAAATATTATATAGGTTTAGTTTTTTTTTGAACTGGACTATAAGTGGTATATGCTGAGGCAATGCCAATGTAAATACACCTAAGCAAGTGAAACGTTTTAAATCCGTTTTTGATAGAGTATTGTTCGGGGGGTTGTGCCTGACACTGCCGACTGTGAATTATTGATGTGCATGTCTTTCAGTGCCAAAAACAAAGAAGCAGAAAAGTAAAGACTCTTGCCAAAAGGTTAAGACGAAGGTAAATGCATTCAGCATTTGCTTACTGTAATCAAATGATTAACTGCAAGATCTACAATTTAAAAAAAGTAAGGATGTTGTTTCTTCTTTACTCACAGGTAACTCGTACTGCCTGTGGCAAGCAGATATCGCTGATAAAAGATTTGACAAAAGCCTCTTTGAAGACCTGCCAGCCTCCTCGTGCTGGGCAGTCCGCCAAAGCAGAAACCAAAGGCCTCCCAACATACAATAATAAAGACTGGACCTTTGACAAGATTACTTTATCACCTCCAGGTACTGTTCACATCTGTCCTCTTTGTCCCTCAACTAAGAGGGAATTAAGATTTTTCCAAAAAAGTCAAGTTTTCTATTTACATTTTGTGATTTTCCTTCGAAGTCTGTGGGTCTTTGGCATGTATAAACTGTCATCCTATGCTTTAACAGGGTGTCCGCGGGGTCTTAAAAAGTATTAAAAGTTGATAAATCAATTTAGCAAAAATTAAGGCTATTAAAAAGTATTAAACGGCATTTTCCAAGGTATTACATTTTGTAGCTTGTTTTCAATAAGTATATCAATTGTCCAAAGAGGTTGTATTCTAGTGTGTGCCTGAATGTAATCATTGCGTAGGTGTGTAGTGTGATTCTGTGTCGTTTATTTATGGCATCCCGTTGGATTTGACGTCATCTGAACAGGACATCGCACGCTCACTGCTTGATAGCGCGCGAAGGTCCGTTTACGCCGGTTGTTAAACAACATCGTTATGGGGAAATGCAAGTTTGCGTCCAAATGGTTGGAAGATAAGGAGGAAGGACAATCAATACTGTATATAGTCAATGTGAGGTAAAGTGTGTCGCCAATGTAACCGGTTAAAACTCAAAGTGGCGATGAGGTCTTAAAATGTATGGAAAGGGTCTTAAAAAAGGTCTTAAAAGGTCTTACATCTGACTTCAGGATTCTTGCATATACCCTGATTTAATACTGAATAGTTCAAATGTATATAGTTGTCTCTTTATTGGGCTAAAGTGAAAACATTTGAAACACTTCAAGGGTCCCCATACTGTTCATTTTCAGGTTTCATATCAGTATGTAGTGTCTCTACTGGGACATGTCTCCATGCTTTCATGTTCAAAAAGCTCTTTATTGTTCTCATACTGCCTGTGCTGCAGCACCTCTTTTCCCCCTCTGTCTGAAACCAGAGCCCAGTCTGCCCTGATTGGTTAGCTGGCCGGCTCTGTTGTGATTGGTTTACGCTTAGAGATGTCCCGCCCCTTAGCCTATCACGTACAATGTGAGATATTAGCCTTTGCAGACCATTCACATTCACAAAAACCTATATAACACACTGCAGGAAAGAGAAGACCACAAAAAGCATAATATGGCTAAATCTAAATATATGAACTTACAGTAACGCTGTTTTGTGTTTTTGTCTCGGTCTGGCTGAAACATTGTTGGGTGATCATATGTTAGGTTGTGTTGGTGTGTTTATGTGTTTGTCTTTCTGCAGCTCATCTCACATACTTCTCTACATCAGCTCAATATTGTTTGTGCTCATTAATGACTTCATGCTCAAAGACCTCTTCATTGAGATTCCTGACTTTTGATAAAACCTATTTGAGTGTTTTAAACCAAACAACAGGGCAGAGAGTGCACTCGACCCTCTCGTTCTTTCCCAGCCTTTAGTAGGAGTCCCTCTCAGCGCCTTCTGATACCTCCTGCCACATCAGCAAGAACACCTCTCCAAACCCTGTACTCACAGATCAGCTTTGTCAGCAAATACCTCTCATTGGAATGTCTTATTCCTCCCTCAGTGATATGGCTCCACATCTCAGACTCCCTGTTCTCCTTTTAATTGTCCCATATGCTTAGTGTCATCAGGAGACAGAAGTTTGGAAAGTTGCTGTGGCTTAGTTCTAATAGTGCTGAGGAGGAAATAAGGGAACAAATCACCGCCCTTATGTTAGGCCTGCCCTTGACCAAAGATGTTCCTAGTCGACCAGTAGCCGCAGTTCAAGCAATGAGTTTTTTAGCTTCACAAAATGGTTTCATTACAGGGCTGAGAAACAGTGTAATAAGTATACATCAACATCATGGTTCATGTATAAAACATATTATACATAAGTGTAATAAAGAGCCTAAGCCCATATGGACCGCAAGAAAATAACACATTTGTTTCACAACACAAAATTAAAATGTTGCCTAGGTTTATTATATATGAAGATCTATATTTATTTGTATAAGGCTCGGCTACCGCCTGACTCACTGTCACTGCAGCTTCATTCCTCCAATCCTAGACTTCTCATATAATGAGGAGAGAGCATATCTTTGTCCACGTTGTCAGAGAGAAGTGTCTCTGTGTCTTGCTCACCGAATTTGTGTTTCGGCTGATATGTTGTATCATTTTGTTCCTACCATGCCAGGCACATTTTTGCCTGCAGAGTTTGCATGTCACCTTCTTGGGGTCTTCCTCTACATGCACAAATGATCCAACACTTAGGATTTCCTGCTCAACATAATTGACTCAATGACCAGGCACAACTCCTGAAAGAAGTGTGAGGGGTTTTCCTGCAGACACGACAAAGCACAGCCCCCAGATGGAGTTTATTTTTATTTTCTTTATGCAACTAATAGACTAATGAAAATTGCTCTCGCCAAAGACTTTTTTTTAGCTGACCAACGTTTGGTGTACTATTAGGGGGCAGCCCTTCCTTATTAAATTCAATCTCATGCTGCTTCTTCATGCATTCAGTTGCTTTGACTGTAGCTCTTGTTATAGTCTGTATAAACACAGAGAGGTATTAACACATGGTTGTGATGTGTTTAGGTTTATATCTGTCCTTTTCTGTTTGACAGATTTGTCTGCCCTCTTATCACCCATGGTGTCTCCAGGAGTGTTGCTGGACTGGACTGCAGCCAGATTTGAGGTACGTCTAAAGATATGACAACACTTCACAACGACTGCTGGCTTAATTTATAAAATTAAAAAACGTTTAAAAATATCTTGGTACACACACTACTTATTATTATTATTATTATTATTAGTAGTAGTAGTAGTATTAAAGGTCTCCTATTATACTATTTGTAGGCATATATTATAGGTCTCGGATATATAAAAATATATAAAAAACATGTCTATGAAGTGGTTTGCTCAAAATACCAAACAGATCACCCATTCTAGCCTCATACCCCTCTATTTCAGCCCTGTTAGAGAAGTGCTGATTCTGAGTCAGTAGCTGGAAAAAAAGAAACATTTGAAAAAAAGAGGGGGGGGGAGCTTATGCCTTCTCATGCAGGAGAATTCTACCCAGCTAAATGCTGCCGTGATTAAACACCATATCATGTTCCAAACCACATCAAGGATTATTTCTGAAAGGGTATGGAGCTCAAATGCATTTTCTCTTGCGGGTTTACCACAAGGTGAGTTCCTTTTTTTAAATGTCCTTACACATAAGCCGCTTTCACACCAAGTATTTTGCCATACTTAGTGCCCAGCACTTAGTACCCCCATGGAATTAAGTACAGATCGCGTTCACACCGGAATAAGTACCCTGGGGGAAGATTACGCAAATAAAGCCGCTGACGTCACTTCTTCTTCTTCTTCTGCTTTGGGTTTACTGGCAGGCCGCAAACAACTTCACGGCGTATACTGCCACCCGAAGTCCCCGGAGTTGGGGACTGGCTTCAGTAGAAGCTGCTGGGACTCCCAGCAGCTTCTACTGAAGCCTTCCGAGTAAATCGCCAGAACGCCGACACCTGCTCATCACTCCACCGCTCCCATGTTTTCTTTTGTGTTGCCATAAGTTATTCTCTCTCCGTTGGTGTGCGGGGCTAATGCTAATGCTAATAATGCTAATGCCAGCAAATACAATGGCAGCTTCAAAAAACTTTTCAGAGTTTTACGGGGCGTGGTTTGCAATTCGCCCAGCCAATTGAAATTGGTACTTTTTTCTCCAGCAGGCACTAGAAATGGGGGTAAAAGTTCTCGGAACTAAGTACTCTTTTTGGTGTGAACGCAAAATTCCAGGCACTATCGGAACGAAACGGGAAAAGTACGGATAAAAGTACTCCGGTGTGAACGCGCCTATACTCTCTCCAGTACAGCGTTAGCTCTGAGTGTTAGCAATGCTTGCTAATGTGAACAAAGACCATATTACATCCAAACCACGTCGAGCATTGTTTCTGATAGCAACGTTTCTGATAGGGTCGTGGGTGTAAAGCCAGCCCACATTTCCGATATTACGTCATATCGGACACAAATCTGGATCAGCTCCGTTGTAGCCCCGTTTTTAGAGATTTGGGTACGGAGGAAAAGCGAGAGGGTTTTGTTTTCTGACACTTTGTGAGTTCCCTGACACACCGGGGACACATATTTATGTATAAAAGACATACAGAAGTGCATTTTGCATGATAGGAGACCTTAAGTAACATTTTAAATGACCTTTAAACCTAATGGATCTTCCACATCACTTAACTTCACTTAACACACGTAATTGTCGTTTCAGGTTTTTGGTAGATTTTTGTTGGCTGCCCTGCTGTTAAGCATTAAGGACCGTAAAGATGTTTCATTTACAAACTGAATCTCTTCTTTCAGCCCGGCCCAGTGCTGTCCCCTCTGACAGCCAGCCCGCTGCATCCCAGGGAGGACACCAGGTCCAGTAAGTCACTAGGAGACCCTTACTCTGAGCCCACCATGTTTAATAGACATAGTAATCCTTTTTTTAAATGATTATGGCAGATTTCAGATACGCTGAGGATTTGCCTGCTCAGCTGATTAATGTGCCTTACACCAACACAGCAAGTAAATCTGCTGAAGAGGGAAAAAAAGAAATTCCCCAAAAGGTTAGCATTGTTTGTTTCCCTCAACTGTAGAAAAAACGATTTAAAATATTTAAGTAACAAGACGTGCTGATTTATGATTATTATCTTTTTTTATGTTAAGTTAACCAAGTAGTTTTGTTTCAATTCATAACGTTATCCATGTGTTTAAAACTAAACGTTCCACAATGTGCGAGCAGGTGCTGGAACTTTTCCTGGATGTGAAACATATTTCCTGTGATCACTGATAATGGCCATGATTAATGGGATGATAACATTCCAAACATGGTGATTTGTTTTGTTCAGGACATTGTTCTGAAAAATGCTGAGTCATGGGCAAAACTGGTGAGGCAGTCAGTAACTACAACTGCTATCAAGTCGTCCAAGGAGAGCTTCAAACAGTTCCGTAAGGTTGCTCAAAAAAAGGAAGAACTTGAAAAAGCCCTGAAGAAGAAACAGATGGAAGACAACAAGGAGAGGGAGGCTCCTGAGAAGAGCAGGTATTTAGAGAATGCATTAGATTTGTCTCTACATTTTTTCTTTACTAGAAAAATAATTCCACTTTGAAAGAGTCCAAGACTACATTTCTAACATAATTGTCAGCAAAGCATCCAAACCCTTTTTTCTTTTTTTAAAGCAGTATTTGAAAGAAAGCTTGGTGAGTCAAAGATCTATACTTTTAATAACAAGGACATTCTCCTTCTAGCTTACCAGGCCCTTGTGAAGCAGACACTAATCTACAGCCTATTGGGGAGGGTCTTGAATCACCCGAGAGCGTTTGTAGAGAAACTCTAGACGCTACTAAGGATGTTGAGCTGCAAAAGGCTGCTGTAGAAACACAACCTCTAACCACACAGTCTGCGGTGGATATGAGGAGAGAGATGGCCCGCAGGAAGGAGCAAGAACGACGCAGGCGAGAGGCTGTGAGTTCCCTCATTCCTCTTTCAGTGTCATTGTGTTGTAAACATGACATTTGTTATGTATTTAAATGTCATTTCTGTGGATTGTTTTTCTTTATAGATGTCTGGTATAGACATGTCTCTGCAGCGGGACATCATGACTTCATTTGAGCTCGCCCTGGACTAAAGAAACTACTTGAAAAAGATATCCCTCTGTGCCAAACTGAGCATCGTCTCAGTGAATAACTCCAGCTGCTGCTTCTAGAATAGAAAAAGAGAGTTATTGTGAAAAAAAACATTGAACAAATATTCAATGGGCCCTGAAATGTTGCACTGACACACTGCACTGTTGGATTTGAGAGGATTGGGGTGATGCACTGTCAAACCTGAAGCTGATCTTTTGTGCAAGTTTATCTGTTCTTTTCTCCTTTGTGTGAAAGTTGTGTATGACAAGCTATTTCCTGCATGCATATACTGTAGTTCAATTGTCACATTGTCTTGTTTGCTGAAAAATGGCAGTGTTGTTAAGTTATGTTTGTTAAATTATCCCATCTGATCAACCCTTACCACCATCTTTCACTTCATCCTGACTCAAATATACCAAGCGCAGACCGAACACTGTTATATGTTGATGTTACATGCACACGTGACTTTATTTTCTTGCACAAAAGTACATTTTGACCCAAGGTTGGTAGGTCCTTGTCAATGTTTCCAATGTGGAATAGAAGTTAATAATCTCAGTTCCTTCGCTGTACTACTTGAAAATGCCATATATTGTGTTAACTGAACACACACTGCACTTTGTTGTTCATACAGTTCTCACTGTTCCAAAGCTGCTTTTGGAGATTATCGACATGTTCTATATGTTACAGTTTGTATAAGCTAAATAAACAAGAAATTATTTCTTCTTTTTTTTGGATCAAAGTAATAAAGTTATTTTCACTAAGCAATCTGCATCACTTCATCAGTACTTCTACTTATACTGGCAGTGCAGAGCGGACCACAGCGCCTCATCTGAGGCTCATCTCCCCTCAGCACCAAGCTGGGGTGCTGCGATATTATGGCAATTAACTGCAATAATACAAATGTATATACAAATATCGATATGTAAATAATGCACTTAATATTGTTTAAGTTAGCTAGAACCTCTTGGATCATTTTCATATCCATCTTTGTAATTGTTTTTGTTATGTACGTTCCAACCGTAATGGTTACAGACTGTTCCCTTCCATCGCATTTTGAGTGCAATTCCTTCCCCCCCAAAACCAATTTGACTGATAGCATGTCTTTCAAATTATTTTTAGATTTTACAATAATTTAATGCTTTGGCAAATATTTTGGATTTTGTGTAATGCTGTGGTTCTTTCCTGCAGGATGGATGGATTTATCTTTAATATTTCCATATTTATTTATATTCCAAATAATATTAAAGACCCTATCATTTAAAAAATGTTTGCCTTGGCAGTGGTAGTGTCAAGCTAAATCCCTTTATCTTTGCCTGTCATTTATTTGAATGATGTAGATAATTAAAATCAAACAAATTGATGCTACAGTCGAAATAATAAAGCTTTCCTTTTGGTGAATTATTTAAGTAACGTCATTCATTATTCATGAACGCCTCATCTGGTCCGCTTCGGGGCTCCATATTTCAGCTCTAATAAGGACAATGGTCTCAATCTGTTATCCAGTCACGTGAGGGATTAGGCTAATCTGAAACACGTTAATTGCTTCATCCCGTGTGTCATTCGGTCTCGAGTTGTGTTTCCCACCCATTGACCCGCTGGGCTGGTTAACAGCGGCAGATAAAAGCGCACCTGCACCGCATCACGGCTCATTAGAATATTAATGAGCTGCCCGAAAAACACCAGTATAGCCAGCTAATTAAATCCACTGTTGGCCGTTTACTGTTCTGAAAGTGGTGGGTGTGACAATTGAAATTAACTCGAAATATTTCATGTATTAAAAGCAGGTGCCTTATAGGCTATTTTACATGCAGTGTTGTTGCCATAACAGCGGCTGGAGCCCGGTGCTCTGCGGTGATGCTCCGCTCTCCCCGCCTCTCATCTCCGCAGAGCCCCGCACCGAGCGGCTCACCGCCTCATTTCGGGCTCGCCTTGTATAGTCAACAGCACCGTCTCCTCTCCTACTGAAACAACCCACTGCTGTCACACGCACGCGTGAAATCTGACGTGATGCTGTTGCCACCGTCCCATTCAGCCGTGTGTCGGGATCCTCCCTTCAGACAGTCGTGCGTATGCGCTGCTGGGAACGACATTGTGCAGAGCGGTGTTTAAGCAGAAAGCGAGCTGTTAACAGAGACAAATCAATAGGTAACTAAATCCCGATTGATTTTCCTGCGGCAATGTAAAGATGGCGAGAGTGCTCCAGTACTTGCTGTTATTTCTGATGAGTCTCGCGCTGAGAATCAGAGTTTTGGGCTACTGGTCGCTGATCTACGGTTATTGTGCGCTTTGCACCATCGTAGCCCTGCTGAAACTTTGCTGGAACATCATCCTGAGGCCGACTGCCACCTTCCAATGGGGGGGTCCGTGAGACTCCCCCGGCTTGTCTGAATGACACGTCCTTGGGAACCCACTGCTACGTTCGGATCAAGGTAAGGTGTGTGTTGTGTGTGTGTGTGTGTGTGTGTGTGTGTGTGTGTGTGTGTGTGTGTGTGTGTGTGTGTGTGTGTGTGTGTGTGTGTGTGTGTGTGTGTGTGTGTGTGTGTGTGTGTGTGTGTGTGTGTGTGTGTGTGTGTGTGTGTGTGTGTGTGTGTGTGTGTGTGTGTGTGTGTGTGTGTGTGTGTGTGTGTGTGTGTGTGTGTGTGTGTGTGTGTGTGTGTGTGTGTTAAATGCTACAACACCTTGCCTGCGTGTCGCGTCGTGCACACAGGCCTGATCTCAGAGCAGATCACCACTGTTGGTCCTTCAGACGTGGTTCCGCTGCTCTGGTCTCAGGTGGTGCTGAAGGGACAGCTCCTCTCGGCTCCACAAGCAGAGGCTGCCTGCCAGCCCCCAACAACCTTGGTGTTCAACATTATGTCATTAAATACCAAGGCATGCCTTTCAGTCATGGAAAGTAACATTTACCCAGGCATTGTGCCATTTGAGGCACTTGTACTTAACTACAGTGTTTTATTTGTATGCAACTCTCAACCTCTAATCCATTTGACTTGTCCTAACTGCATTACTTGTTTACTTCATTTACTTCACAGGTGAAGATAAGAGCTGTGAACACATGAAATACAAGGCATTTTTAGGGACTGCCAAGTTTATACATCAGTATGAGAATAATAAATAAGCTTCATTGCAGCCAGCTACAACAGTTTAAAGCATGCATGTTATACAAATGTAATATTCTACTCTAATGTAACAACTAAAGAGCCCATTGGCTGCAAATTAAGTACTTTTTTATGTTTACATTTAAAGTAGCCTTGGTTTTCTGGAGTATGCTTAAATTCATTTACAGAATTAAGATTTTAAATACAGGATTTTACTTAGAAATTGCAGCTATTACAGTGCATCATATAAACTCGTTATACAGTATAAGAAGAAGAACAAATTAACAGAAAATGTAAAAAAGATTTTAAATCCTAATAGGAAAGCTTCTTGACTAAATGTAGCCTACTTAATACATCTTTGGTGTTATTTTGACAAGCAGCCACAAGCAGCCACTCTCCCTAAAGTCTTCTGAGTAGTTATGTTGTGTCTCTGAGTGGCTGTGGATAAAAGCCTGTCTTCTCTTCACCAGGAGTCGGGCCTGAGGTTCCACTATGTGGCTGCTGGAGAGCGTGGAAAGCCACTCATGCTGTTCTTACACGGATTCCCTGAGTTCTGGTAGGTCAAATGGAAATCAGGGTTTGGGGGCATAGCAGCTGCACTTCAGTAAACAGCAGAGTACAGCCACCACTGTACCATGTTTGTGTTTGTTCCCTCTGTCACCGCTCTAAAATTTCCCCTGAGAATGAGCATGCTTTAGCTTTATACCATTAAAGCTACTATTACATATCTGCGCTCTTCCTCCGGGGCTGCAGAGATAATTCCACACAATGCACGAGGAGTCCTCAATCACAGACACGATTTGCCGTCGGGGGAAAAGGGTCCAAAGCATTCAAGATCTCCTCCTCCTGATATGAAATGAAAAAGTGGTGCTGAGCAGCGCTCCTGGATTGGGGCCAAAGAGGTTGTCACAAGCTATAAGCCGTCCATATCTCTAACATAATATCTAAGCTGCTGACAGGACGGGGATTCATTAACGCAAGAGGGGAGCTCTTTCTGCTTCACTCTATGATGAACTGTGCTCAGTGACACAGATGGAGAGAACTCTTTAGCGCTCTCAGAAATGAGAAGAAGAGCGTGTGTGGGAGGCTGTGGCTCAGTGGATAGTGTGCTCAACTTGGAATCAGGGGGTAGCAAGTTCAAGTCCCACTGCAGTCAGCATGTCGTTGCGTCCCTGAGACACTTCACCCCAAATGGCTCCTGTGGGGATTGCCCACAGTACTGAATGTATGTAAGTCGCTTTGGATAAACAAGTGACATGTCATGTGATGTGTGTCAGAGGAATGCTTTCTTTGCTCTAAACCTCATCTATATTCTGAGATCTGAGAGTTCAGTGGTGGGATCTTATACTGACTCATCATAATCTCACTGGAGGAGGAGGAGGAGGATTTCAGTTCTTATGAGGAGCCTCTAGGAGACAAGATCTTCAATTAGGAAGTCATCCCAGTCCACATGATCTGTGGGCGGATCAGAATCTAAAACAGCTTATTTTATACTGAAGTGACCTTCACTCGCTGGAGAGAAAGCTCAGTGCTAGCTTTAAAAAGTTTGTGAGGTTAGTTTGTGTCTCAAATGAGCATGTGCACTGTGCAAGTTTAAAGAGGCGCTTTCCTGACTTTGCAGGGTTATCCATATGGAAACAAGTCAATACAGTTTAAGTGTTAATAACTACATGTAAGGTCAGTTTTGTAGCGCCGCAAAGAGGTATAAGACACTGTTGAATTGCATTATAAGAAGGAGCCAGATAGTTAAAAATATATATTATGTTCCCGTAAAAAAAAAGCACATTCTAAACACATTGACCCGCAAATAACAGCCAACAGATTAACATAAAGGAGGGAGACAATTGCACAAAAAAGAACGCTAAATAACCTCTGGAGGCACAGCTGTGGAGAGGACAACGATCCAACTCTAAACGGTCCCACAAATCATGATTTACTCCCGGTCAAATATCAGTGTAACATCAATTTCTCATCGTTAAGATCATCATCCACTCTTTTGGGATTCATTCATTCTCATCTTTTATCTATAGAAACTCTTCCTTGTGGCAGTTGAGATAGAGTCAGAGGTTACTCTTCCTTACTTTAGTTGCTAAGATCTTTTGTTCAATGGTGTAAGTAACTTCAAGGGATTCCTTCAGTATAAGAGCAAGAGACCTTTAAGACTTAAGTGAACATTTTAAGAAAACATTAAAGAGAAGACAAAAGACACAACTGATTTGATGTTCATTCACACTTCAGTGAAATCTTAAACTGATGTTAAGGTGTTTTGGGCAGCTGGGGCCTGATGCCAAAGTAGGGCCTAAACCTCCGGATATCTTGACTTCTGCTGTGAAGTTTTTTCAATAAAAAGTCTCCTGCAAGTTCCACAATGCTATGATCTGGGCAATTCCAACATTTTGGAGAAGCCCTTTAAAAGGAAGCTGTTGTGAAATAAAACAAAGAGCTTTGTCTCATCAATTATGAAAGTAAATCAAAGAAATGAAGGAAAAAGTTGTTTGTGTGCCTCAGGTTCTCCTGGCGTTACCAGCTGCGTGAGTTTAAGAGTGAGTTCCGCGTGGTGGCCGTGGACATGCGGGGCTACGGGGAGTCTGACCTGCCGCTCTCCTCTGACAGCTACAGCTTCGACAGCCTGGTCACCG